AGCAGTATTGTTTCAGGTACCCGTTAATTGGCTCAGCGAATTCCAGTGATGGTCTTTCGAAAAGGGTAATTGTTCAATGACTTGTCTTTATTTCAGCAAGTTTGTTGTTCAGACACATTAGGACAATTGGAATTTTTTCATTCCTGTCTTGTCTTATTATTTAATTTCTAAAATATCAATTTGTTCGAAGGCCTTAATCAAAGTGGCTCCTTAAATTTTAATGTGCATCCTTAAGTTTGAAATAGCACCTGGAAAGCTATCCTAGTGGATCCTAGTGGATCCAAATGGATCCCATGAAAAAGTCTAAGCTTGGTGTGCTGACTAGGCAATTCTATACCCCTTTTATGCTTCAGTTTTCAGTAAAATAAATCTCTAATATACATAGGACAGTACAGACCTTCACATAAATGGTTGCCTCTAAGTAAGGGGCACTTATAAAACTTACAGATTGGTCTAGAAGTTGTCTTGGAGGCCACTTATAGGAGCAGGTGGTTTAATATGGCAAATACGGTACTAGCCTTGTACTACAAGTACAGGTTACTAGGGACCTAGTCTAACTTGAAATTCCCCTCTTTTATGAGACAATAACACATGCATAATCTGGTCTGTACCGGTAAATCTACAAGCTGGATTGAATAGTCCCCCACTGTATCCCACGATGGAGGAATGTTATGGAGATTGTCCTCTCGATCATGTTCATGCAGAAATGTACCAAATTTGCAGAAAATCACTATTTGAGCAGAGCTTGTGCAGAATTTTGCTTTTTTTCTGCCATGGAATCCATCAAATACTGCAGAAATTGACAATGTGAAAAGCCGGTCCTCAAAATTTGAATATTGCAAAGGCCAAAGGATAGATATGTGAATGAGTTAGACAAGCTGTTTATCAATATTTAACATACATTTATATTTATCTGTACATTCACAAAGTTGCCGAACATCAAGTACGTAAAATCTTCATCTCATTCCATAGTGTCCATACAGAAAATAGAGTTTTAACATGAGACGAACACTTGCAAGGTATTGCTGTAAGATACAGCTCTCATTGGCTACTGACCTGCTGTGTGCAGGTAATTTCTGTTTGAGCTTTATATGAGGCAGGGGCGGTCGGGTAGCCTAGTGGTTAAAGCGTTCGCTCATCACGTCGAAGACCCAGGTTCGATTCCCGACATGGGTACAATGTTAGGTTTTAGGAGGCAAGTGGTATAAAACCTTAGACGAAAGATGCATAAAACCACATGTACACCAAGTGATACTGCTACAATGAATTTATCTTACCAACATTTTTTTTAATACAGCTGTTCGATTGAGCTGAGATTAACATGTGTTATGTCACGTGACTTTCATTGGCTTGGAAAATGCATGCAGCTTTTTGCTTTGAAGCGGGTTATAAGGGATTTATTCTCCCTCTCAGATCCACATGCAGCCTGTCTTGTTCATGGCGGGGTATAGGGATTATACTAATAAATGGGGAATGTATTTCCCTCCAAGTGGATATTATATCAAGATCATGTGAACCAATCAGATCTTCAATCATTCTCACATGGAGGTATGATAGATAGGTTTACTCTTTCATAAAGTAAGTAAACAATGTGTATTTTGTATTGCCAAGTATCGTAATACAGGTCCTATACATGTTTCAGTGTACTTTTGAATATTTAAAGGCTGATTGGAGGCAGTCAGTATTCTTGGTGTGTAATTGCAATGGAACCATCTCAATGTTACTTGACAGCCAACGGAGGGAAACTACGACTCTTCTCGCATCAAACTCCCGGGCAGATGACCACGGAGTACGCTGATCACTGTGAAGGATTAACAGGACTGATTAATGAGTGATTTCGGTAATTCGTTGCAAATTAGGTGTGTCGGAGATGGAGTGCGAGACTGTCAGATTAACGGGTCTAAATAGCACTGATTTAATCGGTTCCCATCATTAGTGTCGGATAAAGCTGATTGTCGGATTAATGAGTGTCGGATTAATGAGACTTGACTGTATGTGGCTCAGATTTTGATAGGGATAATCAGATATGTCATTCTATTTAAATATATACTTGACATCACTTTTGTGTATCATGGAAAGATAAAAAACATCCCCATAAGAAGTGGAGTACTGTATGTAATATTGGCAAGCCTATTAAATATTTAGATATGAAATGTTGATTTACACTTCCTTAATGTCTACAATACTTTTTGAAAACAAATAATGTCTGGACTATTTGAAAACATGCAAAGTTACTTCACAGTCCTGATTAAATTATCTATCTAGGACATCCTGAATATGTCTTTGTCATGTTGAAGTGTGAGATGACCGGATGTATGTACTTTGTACATCTGTACAGTTTGATGTATTGTACCTCTGTCTAGATACTGTCTAGACACATGGGTACAATATGTGAAGCCCATTTCTGGTGTCCCCCGCCGTGATATTGCTGGAATATTGCTAAAAGCTGCGAAAACCATACTCACTCACTCACTCACTCACTCACGCACGCACGCACGCACGCACGCACGCACTCGCTCGCTCGCTCACTCACTCACTCACTCACTCACTCACTCACTCACTCACTCATTGTCTAGACTCAAATATGCACATGAGTGGACAAAAATTATTTTGTGCAGCTGTACCGTAATTATTTAACTGCTAATCTTTCAAAAAAAAAGACACAAATACAATTTATATCCTACCCTTCATTGATTCTCTACACTATAGAAAGAGGTATATGAAATATGAAAAGATAAAAATAAAAAAGGTAAGTATATTATCTATTGACCCCGTTGACTGTCTCTAATTGTTGACTTCACTCATCACAACTCAGTAACAAATTGCAGGGTAGACATCACATTGAATCATTTCACCAAGGTAGTAAATCTAAGACCTGCTTCCCTTCTGGTCCACTAGTCCTTATAATTATAACATATAGCAAAACCTTTAACATGTTTAAAAAGGGCAATTTTGTACTGGTCCTTACGATACCTTAACTATTGGGCAGTTTGGCAAGTACTACAGGACTAGTGCCAATTTCTAACACTGCCCACATTAAGCTGACACGCCTTGATATAACTGGAATACTACTCAAGAGGTGTCAAACTAAATTCACACACTCATGCTAACTGATGGGGATGTCAGTGATTTCTCTTCCTGTTACCATGGTTACCCCTTGAACTTTGTAAGAGCCAATTAAGTTGTGGATTGGGTGGTTTTAATCAGGACAATCTCTGTTTTAGTGTCCTTATTTATGCTATACCTCATCAGATATAACATGAAGTGAATAAACATTTCTGCTGATAGAATATCAATCATATTCCGAGTACCGGTATATGTAGTATGATTATGAACATGTCTTGGTCTCTATCTCACCTGGGGCGGTCGGGTAGCCTAGTGGTTGAAGTGTTTGCTCGTCACGCCAAAGACCAAGGTTCGATTCCCGACATGGGTACAATGTGTGAAGCCCATTTCTGGTGTCCCCCGCCGTGATATTGCTGGAATATTGCTAAAAGAGGCTTAAAAACCATACTCACTCACTCACTCTATCTGACCTATTTGGGATAGTCATGATAATGTGATTCATCGTTATGAAATTAAAGTATCTGTACTTGATAGTAGGTGGTTTGTTATACTGTTTTCCCCTGAAACCCACACATGTATGTAGAATGTATTAATATTGATCAAGTACCAGAAAGTATAAGGACAAGGTTATAATGAATTTGATTGAAATAGCTCTGTGAATGATATTGCATGTTAATTGTAGAGGCCCATCTGTCCCAGGCTTGCTGATTTAACTGAAAACATATCGAAACCATTGCGGATCATACAAATACTAACCATTGTTAAAAAATATAATAGTAGTCAGTTTCAGTATTAAAAATGTGGGGGTAACAAGTAGATTAAATTAATATAGCAGAAAATTCTGCTATGAAAACTGTGAAAACTGAACAAAAGAAAATTCTGGAATGTCTAATAGATGGCCGAGATTGTATGGCAGTACTTCCCATGGGCTATGAAAACTCTCTTCCCTATCAAATGTTGATCCAATAGACAGTGATTCTGACGGAGTCTGCCACACAGCCCGTAACTGTAGTTAGGAACGTACGCCTCAGGTTAACCATTTCAAACTTGTATGATTTGAAAACACATTCGGACTTTCATTTTCGTGATCTCGTAAGTGACGCACTGATTGGTACCATGAAAGGTTGTTTTGACGTGATCAGTCGGATGCACATTACTTTTAATGTGATTGCTTGGTTACTAACAAGTTATAAAGACCCTTTTATTGAATCTCAGAAGTTCAGACAAGGGACAGAACTTACAATTATTATGCACAAAATCAGATGCGGTTGATCAATTTGACAAAATAGTGAATGTCAAACCGAGCATCATATTAGTGTTGTTGCTGTGTTTTCACAATGAGTAATCACCAGTTAGTTTTGCATGTGATGTGTCGACAGAAACAAATAAGTGTGAAATCAGGATAAAGAATTTTTAGTGTTTTGTTGAAGGGAGGGTTCGCAGGTATTGTGACCTAACCAATAATGAAGTAATGCCGAAACTATTTGTTCTAATTGTTTACATGGATAAAATAATTCTCAGAGGAGGAGGTCATCGATTACTGATAACCATCCAGTTGTCCCAGCCGGAGCTTTGGTCTTAGTTTCATTAAATGCTGGGTCTACCCTGGCTCCCAGTTTCAGCCCAGCTTGCCTTCAACATGTCCCCCTGGGAATGTTATGGCTTTGGACGTGTTTACATTGCCGTCCGTGTTTACATTTCCAATAAATCAAAACCGTTGGTCTTCTGCAGTTTGTCATTGATGAAATTCCATAGGAAAGGTTCTAAATGATTAGAAATTGGTTTGGCAGTGAAAGTCATAATAAGGTAATCGTGTTGCTCCAATAGCATGAACAGATGCACAAGTTGGATAAAATATTCATGCCTCTGCATTTGTAAGCATCCTGCAAGTGAATGAAGCTTTGGATCAATAATGTGGAGTGGACAGTATTGTTCCACATTCTACCTTAACCGTTTGCTGGTGCTGACTTGTAGACAGAATAACAGGCTACAATTTGCTGCTACGTAATGGCCAGTAATTAGCAATCCAGTTGGAAGTTCAGTGTTTCCATGGGATGGTTGCCCAAACACTGCTAACATATTGACGAAAGCGTGTGATCAGTCCGGGCTGCACAGTTGTCTGGAGCTAACTTCCTGTAGATAAGTCATGAGAAGGTTCCAGCATTAGAGGGTGGCTGAATGCATCACTGTTGGAGCAGACGTCAACTTGTACCTGGTGCCGTCTGCTTGCTGTAGTTTGGATACTGGGTGTTGATTGGAGGAGGTGGACTTGTGTTGGGCACAAGAGGTAGGAGACTGTTTACCTGGGCTTGTGTTTTTTTGAATGGGGGATTTAGTGGATGAGTCATGGTGGTGTGATGTGTATACTCCCACACCATATTGTTCCCTCTGCTACCTAGATTTGCACATGTAGACAGATGTATGATAGGGTCAGGGGTACAATATGAAGTATTATGTGTCAAATCATGGTTAACGCATCTGAATGTTATAATGTACACTATGTGGCTTACAGTTGATTGTAACCATTCATTCTTAGCCCTTCAGCTTCTCAGGGTTGAAAAATAAACGAAGGTTGCTGTTATGCAAGGAAATGTTTAGTTTGGAAATATGTTCTGGTGTTCTGGGGTGTTGTTTAGTATGAAAATATGTCCTGGGGTGTTGTTTAGTATGAAAATATGTCCTGGGGAGTTGGTTAGTATAAGAATATGTTCTGGAGTATTGCTGAGTATGAACATATGTTCTGGGGTGTTCTTTAGTATGAATATATGTCCTGTGGAGTTGGTTAGTATGAAAATATGTTCTGGGGAGTTGGTTAGTATGAAAATATGTTCTGGGGTATTGTTGAGTATGAATATATGTACTGGGGTGTTGTTTAGTATGAAAATATGTCCTGGGGAGTTGGTTAGTATAAGAATATGTTCTGGAGTATTGCTGAGTATGAAAATATGTTCTGGAGGGTTGTTTAGTATGAAATCTGTTCTGGAGTGTTGTTTAGTATGAAAATATGTCCTGGGGTGTTGTTTAGTATAAAAATATCTTCTGGGGTTTTGTTTAGTATGAATATATGTCCTGGGGTGTTGGTTAGTATGAAAATATGTTCTGGAGTATTGTTGAGTATGAATATATGTACTGGGGTGTTGTTTAGTATGAAAATATGTTCTGGTTTTCTGGGGTATTGGTTAGTAAAATGAAAATATGTCCTGGGGTGTTGTTTAGTATGAAAATATGTCCTGGGGTGTTGTTTAGTATGAATATATGTCCTGGGGTGTTGTTTAGTATGAATATATGTCCTGGGGTGTTGGTTAGTATGAAAATATGTTCTGGAGTATTGTTGAGTATGAATATATGTACTGGGGTGTTGTTTAGTATGAAAATATGTTCTGGTTTTCTGGGGTATTGGTTAGTAAAATGAAAATATGTCCTGGGGTGTTGTTTAGTATGAAAATATGTTCGGGGGTGTTGTTTAGTATGAAAATATGTCCTGGGGTGTTGTTTAGTATAAAAATATCTTCTGGGGTGTTGTTTAGTATGAAAATATGTCCTGGGGTGTTGTTTAGTATGAAAATATGTCCTGGGTTGTTGTTTAGAGGTGACTAACCAGATCGGGTGGTCAGGCTCACTGACTTGGTTGATGCATGTTATTGTATCCAAATTGCGTGGATCAATGCTGATGATGTCAATCACTGCATCATCTGGTCCAGATTCGATTTGTTACAGACCCCCTTCATATAGCTGGAATAATACTGAGTGTGGTGTTATACATAAAATAAAATAAAAACAGAAAAAAAAACTATTCATTGTTGCAGCTTGGTTACAGTGATATTCATGTGGTGCTGCAACACACTATCTGTATGCCTCTTGTCTATATTCATCCGCATAACTGTATAGTAAGAACCTGTAAAAACCCAATGCATGTTGTAATTGAACAAAGTTAAGTCATGATAACGATTCCTTTGTAGTGTTTCATTCATCATCTTCGTCGTCTTCTTCGCCATCATCATCTGTATCCGTACATATCACCTCTTAAATATCAGAGGTGGTCTTATAGAATAGGTCTTCAGCAACCCATGCTTGCCGTAAAAGGCGACCATGCTTGTCATAAGAGGCGACTAAAGGGATCGGGTGGTCAGGCTCGCTGACTTGGTTGATGTATGTCATTGTACATGTATCCCAATTGCGTGGATCGATGCTGATGATGTAAATCTCTGGATCGTCTGGTCCAGACTTCATTATTTACAGACCGCCGTCATACAGCTGGAACTTTGCTAAGTGTGGCATTAAACAACAAACAAACTTAAACATCAGTTTGTATGTATAAATCTATATAGAAATTCACATGCCATCAATTTGTCCCACATTGAAAATCAATCCGTACAGTTGAACCTTTGAGCAGGTTCAGTGTCCTAATTCTTCACTGGAATGTGACAGTCTGTGATGTGTAATCTACTTGACATTTACATACATACTGCAGTTGGAGGAAGCTAATACTGTGAATGACACAAAGCTGAAATCAACATGCAGATGATAACCATGGTCAGTGTCCCTGAATCAGTTATTCACTTTCGGAACAGACAGTGTTGAATTTTCTATCAAATTAGGGTTTCTGATCACAAAGATTTTTTTATTATGTCCATGTAATTGTAGCAGGGCGTGGAGTCGTCCCACAGATGACATCCTTACCCTATCAGCTTGCTGACGGGGTTAACCTCTTTGGTCATGTGGACAAAGCGTCCGACCTCGGATCAGAAGGTCCATGGTTCGAATCCCATCATGGGACTCGGAAATTTTATGGCCGCTACATTGGCGCCCACGTGGGGCTGAGCACGTTCATATTAGATTTGAGCAAAATAAGCCTCAGTTCCCTACTATGCAGCCCGGGACGTGCCTTCTGTTGACGGGGGAGTATGTAGCTGGGCGTGGAGTCTTCCCACAGATGGCATCCTTACCTTGTCAGCTTGCTGACGGGGTTAACCTCTTTGGTCATGTGGACAAGGCGTCCGACCTCGGATCAGAAGGTCCGTGGTTCGAATCCCATCACGGGACTCGGAAATTTTATGGCCGTTACATAATCATAGTCTGATACTCTTACCAATGGGGTCTTCCCAGTTAGCTCAAAACTAGGGGTGGTAGAATATTGGTTCCTGCTGACTATCAATATACCTCAAAAACAGCCACAAAGACACGCCATTGTTTAGATCATGCCAGTGGACATCCAGCTACTCTGAACCCGAAGAATGACATTCCAATTAAGTTTAAGAACCTCCACAACCATCACGCAGACAGGTCAAAAGTAGACATTAATTGGGGTCTTCTCAAGCAACATGAAGAAGCGTGCTAGATGTCATATGTTTTATGTATCTGAAGACTATTCTAAATTTTTTAATAAAATGAATAAATCTATTTATAAAAATGAAATTGTTTTGATGATGAGATAACAAGACTTATCACTGCATATTGTTTGTGTTCAGGTGATAATGTTTATGAAACTTTAGGGACATGTACGCTAATTTTCTCATTTAACATGTTGAAACAAAAAATAAATAAAATAAAACACTCGGTTCCATACAAATAATAATAAGACCTCAATATTCAAAACACCGTAGGTTTATCTGTGCACAGGGGTGTGGGAATATTTAAGGCTCATTTGCATCTTCAGGTGACATTGTTAGAAGCTGAAGGTAACAAAATCTCCTTCAGTATTCATTCTCATCTTTCTGGTCAGAATTATCATACAGACTGAATGGTGAAGACTAATTTGTCCCCTGAAATACTTGCTATTGATTATACGTCACAGACAAGCTACAGGGACGTCCCCATCAATAATTACAAAACACACTGGAAGAAAAGCATCACTTGTAATGAAAATGGTAATTGGAATTAAACACCTGAATATCGATCACTCCTCTCTTCTGTGTGGTTAATGGCAATATCTTTCATGATGTTTCATAGTGAAACATTATTTGGTAAGTACTTATGGTGTAAATAGTGTAGTTTATGTACCCTCCATCTTTTTATTTTGACACAACCATTGTGATCACCAGTTGCTTCTCATCGGTACCTTTTTCAAATGTTCTGGGATTTTTCTCAGATTTTTTTAATGAAGTGCCTGTGGTAGGCAAATTGTTTGAAACTGTTTGAATGTGAACCTCTTTGTCCAGCATGGTTTTGACTAGCAAAGTCTTAGTCCAACTTGGTTTGAAAGTCATATTATTTTCAATATGAACCTCTTTATCCAACATGATTTTCAATATGAACCTATTTGTCCAACATGATTTTCAATATGAACCCATTTGTCCAACATGGTTTTGAATATAAACCTCTTTGTCCAACATGATTTTGAATATGAACCCATTTGTCCAACGTGGTTTTGAATATGAACCTCTTTGTCCAACGTGGTTTTGAATATGAACCACTTTGTCAAAGATGGTTTTGAATATGAACATCTTCGTCAAAGATGGTTTTGAATATGAACATCTTTGTCCAAATTGATTTTGAATATGAACCTCTTTGTCCAACACTTTGAATATGAACCTCTTTGTCCAGCATTTGAATATGAACCTCTTGCTCAAAGATGGTTTTGAATGTGAACCTCTTTGTCAAACAGGGTTTTGAATATGAACAGTCATATTATTTTCAATATGAACCTCTTTATCCAACATGATTTTCAATATGAACCCATTTGTCCAACATGATTTTCAATATGAACCCATTTGTCCAACATGGTTTTGAATATAAACCTCTTTGTCCAACATGATTTTGAATATAAACCTCTTTGTCCAACATGATTTTGAATATGAACCCATTTGTCCAACGTGGTTTTGAATATGAACCTCTTTATTCAACGTGGTTTTGAATATGAACCACTTTGTCAAAGATGGTTTTGAATATGAACATCTTCGTCAAAGATGGTTTTGAATATGAACATCTTTGTCAAAATTGGTTTTGAATATGAACCTCTTTGTCCAACACTTTGAATATGAACCTCTTTGTCCAGCATTTGAATATGAACCTCTTGCTCAAAGATGGTTTTGAATATGAACATCTTTGTCAAAGATGGTTTTGAATATGAACATCTTTGTCAAAATTGGTTTTGAATATGAACCTCTTTGTCCAACACTTTGAATATGAACCTCTTTGTCCAGCATTTTAATATGAACCTCTTGCTCAAAGATGGTTTTGAATGTGAACCTCTTTGTCCAACGTTGTTTTGAATATGAACCACTTTGTCAAAGATGGTTTTGAATATGAACCTCTTGCTTAAAGATGATTTTGAATATGAACATCTTT